AAGAAGGTTGGCAACCACGGTTTTTTTATATTAAGTCATTATTAGGAAATGCTGCTGTCCATCAACAGGTTTATTTCCCTCTGTCGGCTCTTACGACACCCACGGAGTGATATGGAGTTGTGGATATTCTTACATCGCCACTTCACCTAAAATGTTTTTAAAAGTAACTACACGGTACAAAATCTACACATATAAATGTAAATGTGGCTACCTGTAATACCAAAATAACTGGCATATATTATGCTCAGTGGATTATTTTAATGCCATTAGAACACGATTAAACATTGAATACAATTACTAATTTTACGGATTTTGTCGCATTTAAGTTTATCTCTTTTTAATTCTTGACGTTTGACGGCCTTTTGCGAAGATCGGACCAAAATTAATAATTAAAAAGTTGAAGGAATTCAGGCTTAACTTTCACATCGGAACGTCAAATCCTGTGATAATAGTTTCTACAAAGCACCTGAAACGTCAGGAATTAAAAAGCTGTAATTTTTTTATAGGATAAGGATGACACACGTGCACAAAGTCCACCTGATGGTAAGTGGATGCTGTGGCCCATAGACATCTACATTTAACCTCGATTAAGAATCAAAAAGCAGATGCGTTGTCACTCTTGAGGACTAAGATGGAATGCCTCGATTCCAGTAAAACGGGTCTCCGGTTCACAATTCACCATACGAACCACAGCAGCATTAAGCTGCTATTTTACGCTGATAGTCTATGAGAGCGTGGTCCTTCCCCGGTCAAGCCGATCCATTCAAGTTACAACCATAACGTAGCTGCAGCGTGGCTCTACCACGTACGAAACTCAACGCAATTAAATGCATACAAATAGTTTTATTCGATGTGCAGTGTTCGTGTAAATACAAGAAATCTTTATGAATAACCATTGTTTTTTAAATTTTTGTCTGTCTGTCTATATTCCTTCATAATCTTCAGAACAGCTGTACCGGTTGTGACTGTGCGGTGCCAGGACTGATCTAGGCTATATTTTATGCAAAAAACATGCAGCATTTTTTAAAAATCGAAACACTGACAGAATTATAAAGTTACGAAAAACAGTTCAATAAAAAACTTTTTACTTTTTAATTTTTGCAATAAAAGTAACACTTTATCTTTCATTTATTTTAATTAAAACTACTATTACGGATTTTAACTCGTTTAATTGTAGTTATTTTTAATTCCCGACGTTTTCTTCGGACAAAGACGTCGGGAATTAAAAATAATTAAAATTAAACGCGATAAAATTTGTAAAAGTAGTTTTAATCGTAGTGTAGTGTTCGCGTAAATATAAGAAATCATTCTATATATTTAAACTTTTTTTACTTTAACACCATTATTAAACGAAACTTATTATTATAGAATATGTCCTCTACACCGAATTTCGGTCACGGCGGCCAACCTCAATAAGGACTGGCCCAATGCGCAGGACAGTATTATAGTGTCCAAGTGTATCCGCAATCACATGTGTCTCATAATATGCTGCGCCGAGATGGTAATCCTATACGACCGGAGAGAGATCAGGTGCAGCACCTACGGCTTTACTTGCTTTCCGAGGCACGGGGGGTGAAAACACCGCCAATTTCCTGACTCCTGCTGTTAATTAGAATTTATTGAGAGAAAAACCCAATAATTAATTCTGACCCGATCCTGGGTTCGAACTCAGGACCTCATGAACAGCAACCGCGTTTAAGAACACTAGACCAGTGATGTAATCAGAGGATAAGGACAGAGAGGAATATAGATCTGCAGATTTGTTTTTCTTTTTAACGCAGACGAAGTTGCGAGAAAAACTAGTGTGAAATAAAAATAGATTCACCTTAAAATTATTATATTATGAGGTAGTGGATGTGGTTGCCTCGTGCGGGAAAGCGAAGTGTAGACCTTCTAAACAGAGTTATGACCTGGTAAGAGGTGTAGGAAGTCGATGGAATAGGTGGCTCAGAACCTCGCTTTGTGTTCCTTGGCCTATGTTCAGCAGTAGACTTGTGATGATGAAGCAAATAAAGTAAGAACATATTTTATGTCGAAATTTTTAAGAAAATTATTTCCAACGGGTGGTTAGGATTTTTGAAAAAACTTGACTACATGCTAATAACTTATGAAAATTTTTAAAAAACCCCCGAAACAAAAAACCTGATGATCTTCGAAGGGCTGAACCAACTTTAATAGATCATGTCTAAGAACTACCGCTAGAAAATCTGCTTTTAAATTTAAAAAAAAACCGCACCTAAATCGGTTCACCCGTTAAAGAACAAATTTGCCACCAACAGACACACAGACAGACACGCGTAGCGGTCTTTGGACTTATAACACCCCTCTTTTACATCGGGGGTTAAAAATTAGATAGGTAATATTTGTATTTCATCATGTGGAGAGGCAGAAGCCACCTTTTTCTCAAAATAGCAAACAGCAGCTCCGGACCGTGTTTTTGGACTCAGGACGTGTTCATGATCAGCACCCTTGAAGAGGTCTATATTCAGCAGACTGGACTTATATTATGGCTGTAATTATAATGATGACGATACTCACCATGTTGTCCAGGCGAGTTGTTAAGCATAGCGCCGATACTCTCGACACTAGTAATGCTGCTCACGTAAACTGTTTGTAAAGGTTTGGCATTCTTGGAACTATCCACATCAGTTAATGAACATAAAATTACGATATCGAACACATTCAGCAGCAGTAGCAGGCAAGGATTTCAAATAAGACACAGATTCAAACGAAATATTTAATGCAATGAACGAAATCACTGATGGAAAAAAGTATGCCTTCCTATGCTCCCGCTAAGCATAATCAAAGTAACAAATTACAAACTCGATAAAACACAATACGTGCCTAATAAATATTAATTCTTTACCTAAATATTTACATAATACGATGTAACTGTAGTGACATCTTACATACTACAATCACCGATTAATATAATATTATATAGACTCGATTGTCAAATCCACGGATATCGCCACTAACGGCACGCAAAGAAATAGTTTATACAGCCGATACGTGCATATGTTTTGTAATCTGAGAGCTGGACGGCAATTCGAATAACGCGTTCGATACAAAGCTACTGCATATTATTAATATAATATTAGTTACAAAAGAAAATTATGGCCTGGGGGTTGGTGCGGTTGCAAAATTACCTCCATAATGCAAAATAATAACAAAAAAATGAGTGTGCTTACGACCACACGACTGAAGTAAAACTTGAAGAAAAACTTCTTAGCTCCATCTTTGAAAATATATATATATATATATATATATATAACATATATAATATATATATATATATATATATATATATATATATATATATATGCATATATGTATAATATTTAAACGTATTTTACACAAATATTTAAATTTATTATCGACTTCCTTCCATAATTTGTTATCATCCCGAAAATAAAAAACTTAATGTTTTATTCAGAATATTTATAATGTATTGAACAAAATATTAATTCATGAAATTATTCAAAACGAAATGAAATTACGAAAAAAAACCAGGCTATGAGAGAAAGAGAGAAAGAAAATGTGCGCGCACTGTTCTCTCTTGCTTATATCCTCCACTCAACTACCGTTCGCCTCACCCGATCACACTTTTCGTAACGTTTTCATCACGCGTTCGGCAGCTTACTCCCCAAGTCAAGCGTGCGTAAAAAAGTTTTACTTCAAAAACATGCTTTTAGAAAGCTGGCTTTAAATATGTTTTAATTTATACACAGAAAAAACTTATGGAATGAGGTAAAACAGGCTAATGCGGATAAATACACGAGAAAGAGAGGGTAGCTTGAACTATAAGTTGTATATTTAGACATAATCTGCAACAATTCTTCATTGGAACAATACATACTTGAATACGAGGTAAATTTTTGCTTAAGAGGTAGATCGTCATAAGCCTTTCTTCCCAGACTTCGGGGGGCCTCCTGCAACTCCGGTAAGGCCTCATCGCTGAAATGGTGGTGGGGCCACGGTGACAATGTAGTGTCGGTATTACCATCGGCCGCTTTCTTCTCCCTCCGAGGTCGATACTTGCTTAATGGTAGAGTCCTAAACCAGATACGCCGCCAAGGTCGTTGCGCAGGTGGAGTTAGCTTGAGGCCGTGTAGGAAAGCGCGCCTACGTGAGAAGGAATTGGGGGAAGGGTTCTACTTTCCTGACGAGAAGTAAATATAGTAAACAACACACTGAACTGTGTTGTATTGGCAACTGTTTAAATCGACTGGCTGTCAATATATTTCAAAAACATTTCTTTAAAATTTCAGCCTCGTAAAAGTATGTTACTAAATACTACCCACCTGACAACTTTAGGTTCACCTGGCAATTAATTGTACCCAACGGAATCATCTCGGATTATTTTCCACATTTGAAAATGTGTAAATTAAAATATACTTTTAATACGTTACTTTAAGCAAAAGCATGTAATTTTTTATAAATATAAATTTGAATGACAATTTTACTACCGCACTAAGGCCCCAAAAGGCGTAGTTTTTTATTTCACTTATTTTAACTTAACAATGTATCAAAATTTTGCTTTGTATTTAATACTTTAGACAAAGTAGCGGCCAGGTCTTAGACTATTCAGTATAAACACGCACATGATAATGTAGAACGTCGGACGATATTAGAAACTGTAGAAACTGTTTGTTCTTACGACATATTTTTTATAAATTATAGAGTTACACACATTACAAGTATAATAGATAAGTGTTAAAATTGCAAATTACATCAACCCTAATTTCATTAACAGCACAATCAATTGCGTTTACATTTATGTAGAAATAATTTGTATTTTTTGTTAAGTTATTAACATTTTAACATAAACAATTTTATGATAAGTTGTTTATACTCGTAAGTACCATGTAAACAGCTTTTAGGTAAATAAATTACTATTTTTACAATCAAAGCTTTAAATTTTTATCTAAGCTGAAATAGATACATGTATAAACTGGATATCCAAATTCAAAGAAATTTTTTATCAATATAATTAGAATCTAATCTAAGTCGTCAGCCTCGGGTGAAGCTCTAGGAGCTAGTTTCGTCGTAGGCATTCCGTCGACGTTCGAACGGGGCGGATCGTCGTCCGATAAATTAATGTTTTGCTTTCGTCTACGATCTAAAGTTGAAGTGTCAACTTTAGCCACGCTGACGCTAATTTTTTGATCATTAGCTCCGTCAGAAAAGAGTTCCATAGTGTTTTCAAGATCGTTTGTAGCCGAGTTGCTGCCTTTTATGAGTTCTATATCACTATCAGATTTTTTTCTAGTGATTTCCTCGATCTTAATTCCACTTTCGCCACTCGGATTTACAGAGTTGCTTTTTTCGGAATTCCTAAGTTCATCATTGTGATTAGTGGATGGTAAATCCCGTTCCAAGTTTTCATTAGTTGAAGTTGTATTAGTACCACTCGCGGTAGTTTCCGTAGAAGTCGTGCTGGAAGATATAACTTCGTCTGTGTTTATAGTATTAGTTTGTGCCGTTGAAACCGACGGTGATGTTTGAGTGGTAGATTGAACAGTATTTTGAATTGTTTGAGTTGTCGATTGCGTTGTGGGTGGAGTGGCCTGTGTAGCTGTCCCGGGTGCATCGTGGTAAGCAGCACCACTTGCTAATGCTGCGATGCCCGCTAACCCCATCATACCGCCCATACCGTGATGAGTACGCAAGAGTAGTTGTTGCAATTGCGCCTGCTGTAGTATTACAGGCAATTCGTAGTGATGGAAGAAGTACAACATAGAATGCTGTAAAAGAAAAAAAAACCAGTTAATCAAATATTGTCATTATTATAACAGAACAAAATATTATCGTATAAATTAAGTAAGGTACATTTAAAAGAAAATACTGATAATGCTTATAGTGTCCCTTGGCCGATTTTGAATACTCCAAAAAAAAAAAAAGTTAGTAAATGAGGATACTACAGCATTAACAAAATTTACGCAATTTTATATAACAAAAGACCAAGCACATTTTGATATAAAATACGCAATATAATGTTTAGGAGATAAACTAAGTGCATAAGATCTACGGACACCATCAAAATACAGACCAAACTGAAAATACCGAACCGAAAACAAATTATGTCTGTAATTGGAATACACCGAGACCTATTGGACTTAGACTAGTACCAGTACAAATAACTCTGCACTTAGATAGTCTTACTATTAAACAACGCGGCCGCCGAACATCTAATGAAACGTATATGAGTAAAAGTTCTGTAGACAAATAAATGAGCGATTCGTGACAGCACTGGCAGAACCACTTTTATTTATTTATTTCTGGGTCAAAGTTCCCTTCCCTCCTAGCGCCCGACGTAAGTTTTAATTAAGAAACTTGTGACCGCTTCGACTCAACTTTTATTTGAAATTATATTTTCTGATCCCCTCGTTTTGATTTTTTTCAAGCAACAGCAAGGTGTAACGGGTTACCTTCGAGGACAAGTTGGGACATTTTTATGATTTATTATTCTGAGCGTGCCGCTCGCCGTAAGATAATTGAAAGAATTTCTCACAATTCATATTTTTCCCGACGGTATGTACATTTTTTATAAATTATACCATTAGCTTTTCTACATACATTATATTATTTTTGGGCCATGCCAAGTTGATCATTTGGTTTTCTACATCGTTGTGAATGTAACTTCGTAATTAACTCTGTTTTGGTGGTGCTAGCAATTGGGTTCACTCAAGTACTATTTAATTTCGGGTTAGCACCATATCCCTGAGCTTTTATAAATAAAACAAACAAAATATATTTATTATGGTAGCCACATCTTATATGTAATTTAAAGTTAGCGCCATATCCATAAAGATAACGGCTATTTTAAAGAAAATAAAGAAAATAGATTTATCACTGTAGCCACTGCTAAACATAAGCCACTCTTAGTTTTTTTTATAGAGTAAGGGTTAAAAACGAGCACACAATCCACCAGATAGTAAGTGGATGTTGTGGCTCATTGACATCTACATTTACCTTCAATTTAGAATAAAAAAGCGACAGTAAGTAACCTAATGGCAGGGTGCGGACCTCAAATTCAAAAAAAAATCGTGGGTTCGAATCCGCTATTCGACTTCTGTCGTGAACCACTCCCAACACAATCATTTTAGGATTACCAGGAGTGGTTAAAGGGAATATTAGTAATGTTAATATCATTGCCAGTATTTTTCATTTAAAAAAAATGCAGATGCGATGTCACCCCTGAGGACTAAGATGGAATGCCTTGTTTCCGGTAAGTGTCTCCGGTTCTCTACACCCACCATACAAAACACAGCAGCATTAAGCTGCTATTTTACGCTGGTATGTATGTAAGAGTGTGGTTCTTTCTCGGTTAAGCCGACCCATTCCTGCTACAACCATAACATAACTTCAGCGTGGCTTTAACGCGTATAAATTTGCGCTTAAGTATTTTTAAATACTTTATTGCGGCCTGGAATAGGAACACTTATATTATCTTACTTCTATTTACTACTTCTCACTTATATTTATTTATCATAAACTTTTTTTTAAATATATGATAAATGTAATATTTAATTAAAATTATTTAGACAAACTGGACTACAAATGGTTTACAATCAATGCAAAATACACACGATTGGCAATCAGGCTGCAGATAAAACATGACGGAACCTTAATTAGCACAAACCATCCATATTCAGGATCAGGTCGCGATCATCACTGGCGTAAATACAAAAAGGGATCAAACGTTTAAAAGGTATTTAATGGACAAAGATACCCTTTTATGCGTCCATTAAAATCGGCTGCTTTGAGATTTACCTCGACGGCTATTAAAAAGTAGCCACGTAAATGCAGCCCAAATTTGTTTATCAATTTCACATTTGTATAAAATTTTATAATCTAATCAAGAAAATATAATAAAATATAATAAAAATGCATGGAAAATTCATGTATATACAGGAAGAAGTCTACGGTAACTTGTACCTTAACTTATGTATATACATATGTATGTATAAATGAATGGTTTAACTACACAAACACGCTTAAATAATTTGCACATCGGAACTAAAAAATCGTTTAATGTTTGTTTAGGCAGTGTGTTTGCTACTGCAATATGTAATAGTGAAAATTAAAAAAAAACAAGCAAACAATTACATTCAATTAAAAAAATGTAACCATCACACGCGGTTAAAGTACCTAAATTTTAATTATATTATTATTTCAAAGTCGAAAACTGTGTAAAAGTACTATAATATATTTTACTGAACGTCCATCTGAAAAAAAGATCAGTTACCTAGTCGTGCCTAATATAAAAAAATATTATTTTTGCTCTTTTCTGGTTCACCTTACATTTCACAGTACGCGGGCAACCCCGAACACTTTTTTTTTTCCAAAATATATAAGTAATCACGTGCCACGGGTGTCATAATATGTAGACGAATTGGGAAAACATTAGAATAACTCTGTGTCATCTGTTTTCACGTGGTAGAGCCTAGCTGCAGCTATATGATGGTTGTACCACAAATGGAACGGCTCGACCGGGGTATTTTGACATTACAAACAGACACTTCAATTTAATTTAAATGTGTAGATTTACACCCATTTTCCTCTCTGTCAGAGGTACAAAGGTGTTATAAAAATATCCACCTGTAATACAAGAGCGAGCCTATGGAAGTGTTACCGGGTATATTTCTCAAAAAATTTGTATTTTCCGTTTAAATATTATTTTTAACAATGCATTTAATGACATTTATACATTGTAGATCCATGCTGCAGCTATATTACGGTTGTGCTACGAATGATCGGCCGATAAAAGAAGAACCGACGCACTCACAGAATACCAGTGTAAAATAGCAGCTTAACGGTACTGAGTTTAGTATGGTGAGTGTAGCGAACCTCAGACTCTTTTTACTGGAACAACGCATTCCAACTTAGTCCTTAGGGGTGACAACACATCTGCATTTCGAGATCGCAGCATCCACTTACCTTCAGGTGGAATGTATGCTCGTTTGACACCCTTAATCTATAAAAAAATGTAGACCACAGAACAACGTCGTAATTGTGAAAGAGTTCTCGTTCTATTAGGAACATTCGTCTGCTTAGCGTGATGGTTATATCGAATTCTTACTACCATGGAAGACATGTATTTCATATTAGAATTCTATTTTTTAAACGTTTAGTTCCCACGACAAAGTTTTTACCTTAGAGAGTGCACGAAAAAAAACCATTTGGTTTTTTTTTCATGTAGGTATACCTTACCAAACGAATCGTAACAGAACAGAGAACAAACGTTTCGTGATTATGAATTATGGTTAATGAAAATAACTGTGATGACTAATATTAAATAAAGAACAGATCACATATAATTGCTGATTAAAAGCGAAGAGATTGTCACCTAATGATTGATTTTGAAATTATGAGTACGGGCTGCAAATTTAAAAATAATGTTTAAACTCGCAATTCGATTAATTATGTATCAGTACAATTGCGTTATATATATTTTAATAAAAATAAAAAGTCTAAAGAAGTAGTTTTTGTAGTTGTTACGATATGGAAGACGAACCGATAGTAAGTTATTTTCGAAATATCCTAACAATGCATTAAGATTGCACTTTGTAAAACAAATCTCACAAGATCACAAAAACTTCAGTAACACGGAAAAGAAAAAAATATACCTTTGTAATAATTTGTTAGCCCCAAATTTTTCTCAAACACTTTACGAGTGGCGCGTTGATTATGCCAAGACGGTAGAATATTTAGAAGAAAATGAAGTTATTTTGACTTAAAATGTAAAGAAAAGATTACAGATACCAACGGACATAGCTTTCGCTGAGTGAGAGACATTTTTGTTGCAAAATAGTTTTTTATTTCAAAAATCCCAATTTACTTACGTCAAATAAAAGTAGATATGATTTAAAAATATAAATGAAACAATTATGGTAAAAAAGTAACAAATACATAAAAAGTTACACTATATCAAAAGGTCTTACTAGGAAAACGTTTATTTTAACTACACTCGGCGTCAAAAAAATCGCACATCCGAAAAAAATAATTTAATACTATTTTAACACAACAGGCTAATGGCAATGTTGTGGTTTGAGGGTATTATTCGAAAGGTAATTTCATTAGCTTTCAGGAATTTTAATTGAATGTTACTTTTATAACGAGACGAAAGAGAAATTCAAGAAAAAGACAGGGTATGTACAAATTTGCAAATTAATAATTTAAAAAAAAAAACTTAATAAATACAAAAAAAGTTCTTAAAATTTAGTGTTACCCCCCCCTTGCCTTGATAACGGCTTCCATGCGATCTTTCATGGACCTTACAAGGGTCGCAACTCTTCAAGTACCGCATCTTGGATCTCGAGCTCGCACGCGCCGTTTTGCATCCCAGAGATGTTCTATTGGGTTAAGTGCTGGACTTCGTGCTGGCCAATGCATAACAGGAATATCAACCTCCTGTAAATAATCCCGTACAATAGCCGCGGTGTGGCAACGAGCATTATCATGCATTAACATGAATCCATCATCGACATAACCAGCATACGGGATCACATGTTCCTCCAGGATTTCAGTAATGTACCGACCAGCCTTTAATGACCCTTGCCCACGGCCACCCCGAGTCCGGGAAACGCACACAAGTTCCGTTTTCCCGTCGACGGAAATACCGCCCAAAAACATACACGAGCCACCCCCGTATTCGACGGATTCTTCGAAGCAGGGTTGTGTGAACCTCTCCCCCCTGTCTTTTGTAGACCCTTCTACGTCTGTCATTGCAGAAGAGACAGAC